GATTTGCACAAGTCCAGGTAGGTGACGTCAGTGGCTCTTCCCTTATCCACCAGTGCTGTAACCCTGTCAGAGAAGCCAGCCAAATTTGTCATTAGTGAAGTCATGTTGGCTGTCACCAATCACCTCCTTATTTTACATGTGCCCCAGATAGTTTTCAGGAGGATTTGCTCCATGATCTTGCCAGACACAGAGGTGAGACTGACTGACTGGTCTGTAGCTCTCCGGGTCCTCATTATTTCCCTTTTTAAAAATAGGGGTTGTGTTTCCCCTTTTCCAGTCAGTGAGAACTTCACTGGATGGCCATGACTTCTCAAATATGGTGGATAGCAGCTTAGCTACTTTATCCACCAGTTCCCTCAGAACCCACAGACACATCTTATTAGGTGCCATGGACTTGTGCACCTTCAGGTTCCTTAGATGGTCTCGAACCTGATATTCTCCTACAGTGAGTGGTTCTTCATTCTCCCAGTCCCCACCTTCGTTTTCTGTGATTTGGGTTGTGTGGCTGGAGCCCTTGACAGCAAATACTGAAGACTGAAGACTCTGTTTCCTTCTGGAGAGGGCCCACACTTCCCCTATCACCAATGTACCTGTAGAAGCTTTTCTTGTTGCCTTTGATGTCCCTGGGCAGATTTAATTCTATAAGGGCTTTGACCTTCTTATCCTGTTCCCTAGCTGCTTTGACAGTTTATCTGTATTCCTCCCAGGCTACCTGTCCTTGCTTCCACTCTCTGTAGGCTTCCTTTTTGTGTTTAAGCTTGTTCAGGAACTCCTCGTTCATTTATGCAGCCTCCTGGTGTTCTTACCTGACTTCCTCTTTGTTGGGATGCATCACTCCTGAGCTTGAATATTAACCAGCTTTCTTGGGCCCCTCTTCCCTCCAGGGCTTTATTCCATGTTATTCTGCAAAGCACATCCCTGAAGAGGCCAGAGTCTGCTCTCCTGAAGTCCAGGGTAGTGAGCTTGCTGTGCACCCTCCTCATTGCCCTAAGGATCTTGAACACCATTTCATGGTCACTGCAGCCAAGGCTGCACTTGAGCTTCACACTCCCCACCAGCCAATCCTTGTTGATGAGAACAAGATCCAGCATAACCCTTTCCTCATTGGCTCCTCTGTCACTTGGAGAAGGAAGATATCAACAACACATTCCAGGAACCTTCTGGATTGCTTATACCCTACTGTGTTATCCCTCCAACAGATATCAGGGTGGTTGAAGTCCCCCATAACAACCAGGTCTTGTGAATGTCAGGCTGCTTCAGTCTGTCTACAGAGGGCCTCATCCACTCAGTCTTCCTCGTCAGGTGGCCTGTAGGAGATCCTCACTATTATGTTGTTTCTCCCTGCCCTTCCTTTAATCCTAAACCATAAACTCTTGGTCAGCTCCTCATCCATTCCCAGGCAGAGCTCCATACACTCCAGCTGGTCACTGACATAGAGGGAGACCGCTGCTTCCTTGTCTCCCCTGCCTGTCTTTCCTGAAGAGCTGGTACCCTTCCATCCCAACACTCCAGTCACAGGAACCATCCCACCATGTCTTCATGATACCAGGAAGATCATTGCCCTGCAGGCGTGTTCACATCTCTAACTCCTCTTGTTTATTCCCCAAGCTACGTGCATTTGCGTAGAGGTGTTTAAATTGAGCACCTGATAAAGATGACTTACTGGCTGCAATTTCTTTGTGCTACACTTCAGGTGTTCTCTTGCTGACCTCTGATCCCTCTCCAGGCTCTGGTCATCTATTACTGGCACTGGCATCAAGCTGGCAAGTGTGGGATGGATTGAGGTTCCTCTCCCCCAGCAACTTTAATTTAAAGCCCCTTCACCAGCTTGGCACAGTTGCACCAACATGGCACAGGTTATTTCTAGCCTGGTAATTAAGGTTGAGAGAATGTTATGGAAGACTCAGCATATGGTTCTATATAATTTGAAGAAGTTGTTGGAACTAAAAATTCAGAAATTTAAAATTCTTCCCTTTGACCTCCTTTCCACAGATATGGTATGGGTCAATGTGATCCATGAAAAAGTCTATGCATTAAAGAGAATAAATAAATCTTGAGCATTGGAAAGAGCCTTAAAATCTTTCAGGGACCATTACCCATCTGATTACAATCAGTTGCTACTGATTCAAATATGTTAAAAAAAAACAGTGTGAAACAGAAATATGCGTATTAATCTTTTAGAAAGGAGAAGGATGTCTTATGGAGACATGAAGAAACTTGCATCATACAATCAGCCTCCTCAGTCTTCTAGATCTCTTTGACTCCCCAGGAGGAATTTTGTGGAGTCTTTTGCTATTGCAAGTAGAGAAAGAAAATTTATTTCTATGACTTTTTTCTGATCTAACTTGAAAAGGTAAGCAGAGTTATTAGACTTACTTTCCAAGTTTAGAATGGCTTTTTTTGATATGCTCAATGCTCCTTCCATTAATGCTTACCTTTGTATCTGAGCCAATGCATGAGTATGAATGAGTACAAGGTAGCATGTCTTAAATTTTGACCTTGGGTAGACTCTGAAATACCCACACTTGACATGTGCAGAAAGCATTATTTATCTCTAAAACTCTTAAGCTTAAAAAGCAGCAGCATTGTGAAGGTAAAATCACAAGCTCTGATGATTCATGCTGCACTGACATCCATAATTTTATCTTTAGTATAAATTAGGTGGACCTCTAGGTCAACAACTGTCTACTGTCATGCGTTGTATGTATCAGTCTTAGGAACTGTAAACATAGTTCATGCAAGGTAGCAAAATTCTTAATTTCTACAATTTGTAGTAATCTCTAGAAAGTCAACATTTTGTGTCAAATGAGGATAATGAGCATATTGTGATTATACATACAGATTTATTAGTATGTACAGAGGACAAATGGTTATATCAACCAGAAACAGATATCACATACTTCATCATCATGCAGAAAATCATCGTGTCAGTAAAACAAATGACCTGGAAGTAGTAGAGACCTATTTATTATACTAGTGATCTGTGAGGAAAATCCTGTATGATGAAAGCATAATGTGTTGATCTTTATATTTGAAAACTTGTTATGCTCAGTGATGTAAGGATGTATAAATAGGCATTGAATCAACATGACTGCAAGCCTCAGTCTCAACTGGGAGTGTTTTAGTTGATAAGTACAAGTTGAGTTGTGGGGTTTTTGACTGAACAATGAGATAGAAATAATTTATTAAATATTGGTTGTGGTTTTACATACTTTTCTCTAAACATCATGAAGTTTGATTGGATGCTCTTCTTTGACACTCAAATAGCTCTTATATCACTGTTAAATGTATTTCTGGAATTATAGAATGTGAAAAAATCAGCCTATACAGATGGCTACACATAAGAAATTCTTTGAGGACACAACAGTAGTAAAAATTGACTCAGCATACTATTTTGGTGGCTCCTAAATTCTGAAGACAGGGATGGATGTATAAGTTTGTTTAGGCTGTTCTCTGAATCGCAGTGTAAAAAAATATTTCAGAGATTAGTCGAAAGTAAGTATTTTTTAAATGTGTGTTTGACATATGTTAGAAGAACAAAGGCAACAGGTTTTAGTATAATCAGCTAATGTAGGCCATAGTAATTCAAACTGAAATATATGCAGCTATTTAGTCATATCGTGCAAAGTGTTATAATGGAGTTTTACAAGCTCTTCTGTGTTAATTACACAACAGGACTGGGTTTGTTTCTGTGTTTTTGAAGGGGCCTGCAAGATTTAAATTACTTCCCATCATAACAGCAAAAATAAGTTAGGAATTTTAAAAAGTTACAAGCAGCTGACTGGAGAGCAGCCCACAGAAATAGGCAAAAATCAGATATGGTTGAAGAATATATGATAAAATGCCGTCCATTTTATTCAGATTGTGAAATGGCTGGTATGAATATGGTATGCCAATAAGAATTGTTTTTGAAGAATATGGGTGGGAAATACTTTTTTCTTTAAAAAACATTTTTTTATTAATTCTTTTTAAAGAATTTTGCTTAGTGACTATTTAAATTATCAGTTGTGACTAGTGAGGATGAATTACTCATGCAAATAGTAGCTAAGGCACTTGTGATTGATCATAGGTTAAGCAGTTTACAAATAGGATTTCTTAAACATATCTTTATAAATTTTTAGGTATCTGTTTACAATCTTTTACCGAGTTCTGCTTAAAAGACAAGATTCACCACTGAGCTGAAGTACATCTGTTGAATAGAATCAACTTCTTTGGCTATTTTTACTGTGGAACTAGCCTCCAGAAAATTGTGTCTATTTCTTTAGAGTATAGATTAAGTCATGAAAATAAGACAACATGGAATTTTGTAGTGTCAATATGCAACATTTATATGAGTATTGGATTGACTTCAAATGATAATGATTGCATCCCTCAGTTTTCTTCCCAGATTTGAATAAAACCAAACCTGGAACAAAAATTAGCCCAAATGACAGAACTTTTCCGTTTACTCAAAATTATTTGATGTCACAAATCACCCAAGATTTCCATATAAAACTGAATTAGACAAGGCTTATGCTCATGAATTACATAAAGTTTGGAGAATCTTTTAAAATTGTTAGGCAATTTCTTTGAGCTCATGTTTTACTGTTTCCAGTCCTCATGGATACCTGTACTGGTATCACAAATACCTTAAAGAGATATCAAATGATTTATTAATGATTACTCAGAAGTTTTTTCAACTATATTTATGAAAGCATGTATGTCAGCAACTATATTTAAGAGAAAACAAAAGATATTGAGCACAGTTATAGTATTTTTCCCCCTGAACCTGTTTTTTTTTTATTTATTTTTATATCCTATGGATTAAATTTATGTCCTGCCTGGTTTCTACTTTTTATAGTATTAAATTAAAGTCAAAAGAAAATGTATTTACAAGGCATGTCATATTTGCACGTTTTTTATTCTGTTCAGGTACAATCTACATAAGGCATGTCTGTTTTTCCAGTGGCCACAGGAATATATAATTGCTCATCAACAATGTTATTTGTTTTTTCCCTTAGGGGCTGATGTTATCAATTTTGATGGCCATGTAGTGTTACCATACAGATTCAGAAACAAGAAAATGAAAACACTGAAAGATGTAATTTCTCTGAAATTTAAGACCTCTGAAAGCGAAGGTGTAATCTTCCATGGAGAAGGACAGCAAGGAGACTATATCACCTTGGAACTGAAGAAAGCCAAACTTGTTCTAAATTTAAATTTAGGTATGCTTTGATTGTTTAGTTCTGTGTACTTTTTAACTCTCCCACAAAAGTTTTAGGTCAAATATTAAATTTTTTTTCCCCACTAATATGGTAATCAGATAATGATAATTTAATCAGATAATTTGGTGAAAATGATGTTCATTTCCTTTCTATATGTTCTGTTTTTTATTTTTTTTTCTATTCCATTCTTTCCTTTTTACTCCATGTGAGATACCATAAAAATAAGATAATACAGAAAAACAGGATCAGCAATATACAAATTTAATTAGAAACTCTCTACCAACAAAAAAAGCCTTGCTAGAATTATATTTGGCCTCAGCTGCGGCTTGATGAGAGACAAGGACACTATCGTCGGTGCTAGAGGAATAAAGGTCACCCTTAGGAACCCTGCAGCCAAAAAGGTGTCAATGTGGGAAACTACAGGCCATGTGAAGTTGAGGTTCAGGAGCCTTCCTAGACTCTGAGAAGTAAGACTAGGAAAGGAAAGAAGATATACTGGTTTATCAGGCAATCTTATAATGGAGTTCTGTATATGTTACTCTAGTTTCAACCTCCTTTTTCCCTCCCTGTGAAAGACTACAGGTGCATGAGTGAGTGAATTTATAAAGTACATTTATTATGAAAAAAACTCCACATTTATTGGGTTTCATGTTTTTTTTTTTTCCTTCAAATAAGAGTTTCAGAAAAAGATTTAAAGTAACTTTCCTTAGTTCTCTTACAGAAATGTGAAGAGAAAATTATTCTGTTCATTATTTACACTGAATAGTAATTATTTCCACTAGCATTTTCTCCTGCTCTTTTTCTAAAAACCAATGTGAGCAGATGAGGAGGAGGAAAGCACATCTTCCTATAGCAGTTATCTATTTTTAACATTTAATTGCAATTAAAATACTAACCCATTCATTTCCAGTTTATCCATATTCTTCAGTTCTGTCTGTCTTTATAAGCTTTTATAACTTCCATGTATGTGCTTGGTGGGGATGTTCTTAAATCACTAGGCTGACAAACGGGAATAGGCCCCATGACACAAACTCACTTAATACACAGAAGTAATGGTTTCTGGTGTTATTCTTCCTCTGTCTGAGATTATTGTCTTTGCACCAGAGTCAGTGGAAAAGGATATTAATTTTTCCTGGTGAAATCTACTGAGTTAGTTTCAAACATCAGGGAGGCAAAGAAAGATGGGGAGAGAGGTGTGGATTTAGGTTTCACTTTGTACTGTATTTGACTTTGTATTGAAGAAACTGAGGCTCATGGAGATGCATGGAATGTTTTTTATTTTTATTTTTTTTTAAGCAACAGCTGTTGAAGGATCAGTGGCCTTCAGGAAAAAGTCAGTAAGGTCATTTGTAGGGGAGTAATGTCTTGAGCCATGGAAGTATGACTTGCCAGAATGTATCAACATGCACAAACTTTAATGTCTGAGTTGCAGGTTTGATGGATAGTAAGAAACTCATCTCCAGAAATGCTTTAGATCCTCATGTATTCAGAACATGGAAAATTATTGGGCAGTGCAACAATTTTTTAAATTTACTGCTGAATTAGTCATTTGCTGCTTAAGCTGAGATGCATGCTATCAACCTCTGCTGCCTTAGCTATATCAGTCAGAATGCAATGAGATGTGGTCTCTAACTAGCATAGCTATACTTGCAAAAGGACCTGGAAAACACAGCAGAGAACTGAAAAACTGCAGGAGGAAAGAATGAAATAAGCTATGTTATCAGAAGAGTGGGATTTCTCAGGGGTCAGTGCTAGGCCCAGTGCTGTTTAACATCTTTGATGGTGACATGGACAGTGGGATCCAGTGCACCCTCAGCAAATTTACTGATGACACTGAGCTGTGTGGTGTAGTGACACACTGGAGGGAAGGGATGCCATCCCGAGGGACCTGGACAGGCTGGAGAGCTGGGCCCAGGCAAATCTCAGGAAGATCAACAAGGCCAAGTGCAAGGTCCTGCCCATGGGTCGGGGCAATCCCAAGCACAAATGCAGGCAGGGCAAGGAGTGGATGGAGAGCAGCCCTGTGCAGAAGGACTTGGGAGTGTTGGTTCATGAGGGGCTCCACATGACCTGGTAATGTCCACTCACAGCCCAGAAAGCCAACCGTGTCCTGGGCTGCATCAAAAGAAGTGTGGGCAGCAGGTCGAGGCAGGGGATTCTCCCTTTCTACCTACTTCACGCTCATGAGACACCCCCTGAAGTACTGTGTGCAGCTCTGGGGCTCTGAACAGAAGAAGGACACAGAACTGCTCAAGCTGGTCCAGAGGAGGCCCTGAAGACGCTCGGGGGGCTGGAGCACCTCCTCTGTGAGGCCAGGCTGAGAGAGTTGGGGGGGTTCAGCCTGGAGAAGAGAAGCCTCCGGGGAGACCTTCGATCCGCCTCCCAGGGCTTAAAGGGGGGACAGGAAAGGTGGGGAGGGACTCTGGATCAGGGTGTGTAGGGATAGGATGAAGGATAATGGTTTTAAACTGAAAGAGGAGAGATTGAGATTAGATATAAGGAAGAAATTCTTTACTGTGGGGGTGGTGAGACACTGGCATAGGTTGCTTAGAGAAGCTGTGGCTGCCTCCTCCCTGGAAGGGTTCAAGGCCACATTGGATGGGTCTAGTGGAAGGTGTCCCTGCTTGTGGCAGGGGCATTGATTGGAACTGGATGATCTTTGAGGTCCCTTCCAACACAAACCATTCTGCAACTCTCTGAATTCTATGAAGACTTTTTGGCTGCAATTTTCTCAGTCTCCACTGAGCCTTCTCCTTTGTTTTCTTTGTTTGAAAACAACTTTACAACTGAAATCTGGTATTGCTTCTCTGGTTTGCCTCCAAATAACTGTTATGACAAATAACTAGTTGTACAGTTCACTCATCAGATGCTTGCTGTATTTGGTCTAGCTATTTGTATTTATAGCAGCAACTCTTCACTGGGCTAACTTCATAGCAGACTGACTTTCTCCGCTTTATTGTGTGTCTGGTATGATTCAGATGAAATATTGATAGAGCAAGAGGAAAATGTTTGCCTAACTGGTATGAGGTTAGAATTGCTATTGTTTCTATTTTCATCTTAGGCAGCAACCAGCTTGGCTCTATTTATGGCCACACGTCTGTGATGACAGGCAGCCTCTTGGATGATCACCACTGGCACTCCATCATCATAGAGCGCCACGGGAGAAACATCAATCTCACTCTGGACAGACACATGCAGCACTTCAGAACCAATGGAGAATTTGATTACCTGGACCTGGATTATGAGGTAGACAGGGATGTTTGTTTTCATTCAAATTGGCTTTGTAAAGATAAGTCCAGTGAGAGAAGAAAACTAATATCATTTACAATATTTTGGTACTTTTTTTGTGCATTTGTTTTAATTATTTTTTCATGCACATTTCCTGAAACTTTCTTTCCAACACTTCTCTCTTAAGTGTAAATTAAGTTTCTCTTCATTAGTCTACCACATCCCATCTGGTGTAAAAGTCATCTCAGCCTTCTGTTTTAAAGTGGGACATCTATGTTATTTAGCAACCTAAACATACACTACTTTTAAAATCTCTGAAAGCACCTGCTGTAAGTGAGAAGTAGATTTAAAAAAAAACAAAAAACAAAAAACAAAAACAAACAAACAAAAAAAAAAAAAAAAAAAAAAACAACAAAAAGACCAAACATACAATCTGTTATTCCATACAGGAGATAATTTTGCACTTGAATCAGAATGCCTCATTCTGTGGTGACAATTAGTATTTATTTTTAGCAAAGCAAACAGATTAGACCCTTTTTACTAATATGGATCTTGATCTTTTTTGTCTTAGGTATGCAGGTACTTCCTTGTATTTTCACAAATATGACATCAATAACTTATTTTTGTAAAGAAGCAATAAAGAGGAAAGTTCTAGGAAAACCTTTAGTCAATCAGGTTAATTAACACAAGTGTTGTACTTAAATGTGGATTTGTTGTTTGATTACACTCTGGCTTCTGCTGTTATGAACTTGTTCAGTTTCTCTAAATTGTTATATGAACTTCAGCATGTTGGTTGTTACAAACTTTGTATAGTGATTTTCTTGGACTCTTTCCTCTTTCTAATGTGAATTAATGTGGTCGGCTAAACCAAATACGTGTATTTCCATCCTTGAAACTTTTTAAGCAGCGAGTGGGATTCAGAATGATGTCATGCAGAAAAGTTTTAATTAAGCTGTGTATTGATATTTTTACAAGCAACCTTTTGATCAAGAATATGATATTAAGAGTTTGAAAAAAATACTTATGATTGTAAATGTTATCAAATCAAATATTTACTTACATTCCAACAAATCTTTATGAAAGCCTTCTCTGGTAGCAGTTGTAATGAGAATATAATGAGGAAATTTGCCTGTAACTCTATTACTCATCAAGCACTGATGATCTGATTTGAGCTACTGAAATCTCACATAAATGGATTTTATTAAAGATTTTCAAGTGAATGAACTACAGAAAAAGTTATGCCTAATGTCAGAAGCCAGGTCAGGCAATTCACACACACACACACACACACACATATATATATATAACCACATATGTTTATTTGTAGCATGTTTACACAATATAATATATTGCATAGAATAAATTTACCCCTAGTAAGAGTAGAATCCAGGAGATTCACCTTCCTCTCTTCTCTGATATTAGAGACCTCACTGTCAGTTCTCAAAGACATTTCGATCTCCTTATACATGGATCCCCTTCTGTTCAATGCATCTTATTTAAGTGTGTGCGGATACATGTTTCTGTGGTTCATATAAATTCAAGAGCCTTAGCCTCATCTCCTTCCTTTCCTCTCAGTTATCTTACTGCTTTGGGAGATAGTAATCACAGACTAAATTTAAATGCATTGCCCCTGTGATAAATTAATAAAAGTGGATAAACCTGATTTTATCATAGAAAAAAATAGTTTCTAGGTTAACTTATTTTAGAAAGGCTAAGTAATCACAAAAGAGAAATAAACATTAGTTCTGATTGTATTTTCAAGGTAAAAAAAAAAAAATCCTGTAATCCCCTCTTAACTCATTGTCATGCTATGTGATTTTTGCAATATTTCTCCTTTTCTTCACAATATTTTCCTTTCCATTTTCTCTTGTGCAAACACATGACTGTAACATGCAAAAAAATGTTTGAAAGCCATTAAAATATTACAGTCACATTCTTCAGATCAGGTAAATCACTGTATCTTCTCTAAAGTCAACTCATGTCAATTTATAGTACATGAGGATGTGTCCAGTAAAATGCTTTTACATTCAAATAAAAATTTTGGCTTTCGGATGTATAGCTTTAGTTCTTTCTATATGCTAAGTCAAAACCTCCTCTTTGGGATAGAAGGTGATATGTTACATGCTTTCAGAATGGAAAATGTGTCCCTAAAGCTGCATTTTCCTGCTTTCAGTAATACCAAATGAAATTAACAATGAATTATATTTAAAGCTTGGCTCTGCCAAATCTCAGCAGTAGACTACAAAAGGACATTTTTGTGAGCATTAGTGGGGCAGGGAGGATAGGTGTCATTACTATTTATGACATCATATGTTGGATATAAATACTTAACATATGTTGCAGGGACTAATCTCATGAATCCCTTATTCTCCACATTTGGGCTGCAAAATATTATTGAAAACATATAGCATTTATTCACTTCCAAATGTTACAGAAAAGACCCTGATGTGGTAGAGACCTGTATAATCTCTATGGAGAGGCAGGGAGAGACTTCATAAGAGATGAACACTTTTAGTTCATAAAATATTATTTTTTCTTATTTTTTTAGCATTATTCTGGATAATGCAGTGTTTTAGGGTAATGAAATTCAGCATTAGGAGAAAAATAATACCTGTTTGACCTTGATGAGTCTTTGTGGTGGTTGTCTTCATCTCTGTGGAGATGATTTGGCCTGTTAAGTCATATGGTAACTCCACACTGACTATAGCAACATGATAAAAGCATGTTCTCCTTACAGAAGGTGCTTCTCTCTAAAGGCAATAGCATCTTTAACTCCCTGATTCCATAAAATTGTTCTGGATGAAGTAGACATGTAACTATTAAAAGAAACAATGTATCATATTGGAGCCCACCTCTACCGTGCTGTAGTATGAGTTCTAGCACACAGTTAGAGCTGAATGAATGATTTGAATCAGATTATCCAGATAATTTCATGTCTACTCTTGTTTAGAAAAGTACTGGGATGGATATTTATTCCAAGTTCTTTGTTTGAAATATGTATTCTTCAGTAACAATCAGAAGAGAAGTCCATGTATGAACAAGAGTGATGTGTGTCTGCTCACTATTTAGACAATTGTAATAATACTTGGGATTTACTACTATAAATATTTGCAATCACAAATTCAGTACAGATTTTTTTTCTGCTTTTGCAATACTTATTTGATGTTTCCTTTTTCTATAAGCAGTGTTGCCAGATCTCTCACTTGCCATGTTTGAGTGTTCAAAGAAAGCAAATATATATACAGTGAATTTATTTAGAAGTCTTTGCCCTCCAGTAACTATCCATCATTTTCTGTTTCATCCAAAGATAACCTTTGGAGGCATGCCTTTTTCTGGGAAGCCAAGTTCTAACAGTAGGAAAAATTTCAAAGGCTGTATGGAGAGCATCAACTACAATGGCAATAATATCACTGACCTTGCCAAGAGGAAGAAATTGGAGCCTTCTAATGTGGTAAGAGCATAATTTAATGATCATCTAAACTTCGGCTTCTCCTTCTAAAGGAGACTAAAAGGTTTGTGACTGTGTGTAGCTGATATCCTTGTCATATACTGGAATGACAGAGTACAGAAAACAAATTTTATCACATACCCAAGTATCTGATTATATGTATGTTTGTGACTTTTTTTTATTGTCATGTTTGAGCTTTTTAATTCCTGGGTCCCGTTTCATATTTCCAAAATTAACCTTCAGGATCAGATAACTAATTTTTAAAAGAAAATCAGTTGAACGAAGAAGTACTTCTTACCTTTCCTCACAAATTATAGTAGTGCAAAACCAGCACAGACAAGATTTATTATTAAATCAATTGCAGATTTCTTGTGGCTTTAAATCCTGGTATCTTCCATTCCTGCAGAGCTAGTTGGATTGCTAGAGTGCAAAAATCATTGGAAGGGAATGCTTCTACAGCTTCTACAGGCTTTTCTGGTAGCTCTGAAAAGCCTCAAGATATTAGATTTGAAAATCATTATTTAGCTTTTTAACATTATATTTTATCTTTTCTCTTGCTTAACCATTCATAGTTGCTTTCACATTCAAATTTATGGCTTTATGGACAGGGTGATTAAGAA